CGATACACTGCAAGTAAGTCCTTACTATTTTTCTTCATCATGTTTGTCGATGTCACATTGTTTACGGACTTGTGAATAAATAATTATCAATTTTTCATCGACTAAGAAAATCTTTGTATCTTTTTTAACAGAATTTATAAATATCATAATTTCATTATTTCTTCACAAAACTATCGAATATATGATTCATCATAATTATTACGTGAAGCTTTATGTATTTTGCCATATTTTAGTAATCGATAGTTCATTTCCATTTCTATAACTTAATATTATGAACTCTTTACCAATAATTCTTAAATACTAAGTATATTCTTGATTATTAATTGGTTACTATTATTATTATTATTATTATAAGCGATTTAATGGCTTATTTTACTTACTGACATTATATGTAATCAATAATTTTCATGGGAAGATAGTCGATGAGTTTAATTCTGTTAAATAATCTATTGGAACAAGCTTACTTTTATGTAATATTCTCAGCGTAAATTTTTGTCAAATTAAAAATTGATTAAAAACCAAGGAGAGAAATAATTTTTTCTTTAATTTTCAATATACACATATATTTCATAATTCATATAATAAATAATATATTATTCAGTATTAAGGACTTAAATGTTTATCTTTATAGAAATGAATTAAATATCCATATTATTTATTGTTACGGATTGGAGCAACGTCGAAGATTTTTTAAAGTGGAAGGAGTACAGTGTAATAGATTGAATTTGCAAATTCTTAACTAGTCTTTGTTTTATGTCTAGCATTCTACAATATTTCCGCATAGCAACGACAATTGCCAATTATCAAATGTTACATGGCAATGTCTTTCTAGATTTTCTATTAGTCTGTAATTTTTGTTGAAATGTTATAAAGAGTAGTTGCCTAGCAACAAGCTCATGCGCTACTGTCATAATTGAAAGCTGTCTCACTATATATATAAGAACAGTTCACCACAAAATTTACTCGCTGTATTTTTATCTATCATCGACCATCGGTTCAATTAAAAGTCAGTCAACCAGCTATTAATTATTCATACATCTACATACCAGATATTAATTATAATATACACATAACGTCGACTACAACTTAATAATCTAATAAATTAACAGTGACGTCAAAAAATCCTTTAAGTGTTATGTTCAAAGAGCACGAATGCAAGTGCAGTTTAAGAGTGAAATTAACTAAAGTATAACACTAACATTTCTCAACATATATCTTACAACAGCGATGGCTTTACGTACATATATTTAAACAGCTACGGCATATAACAGCGACTGCTTAACATATATCTTACAACAGCGACTGCTTAACATATATCTTACAACAGCGACGGCTTCACGTACATCTACAACAGCTACGGCTTACATCATATCTTAAACAAAAAACATAAAAAGTTCGCAAGGGTTTACGACAACCACAGATGATAATATTCTTTCAATTAAAGGAGAAATTGTTACAGTGTCACTTACACGTGACACTGCTTAAAGAAGTACAGAGATTTACACCTCGTGCTGCTGCAAGTAATAAAATTCATCATCACGTAAAAATCACTGAAGAAGCTGCAGAGATTTTATAATCATTTTACAATCACCATCAATATAATTCGATAAGCATCATTTATAATCTTATCATTGTATTCAGAAAATAAATAGAAAACCAAGATACACCATGTGTTGAATTGAATAAGTGTGTCTGCCTCCTCCGCTTGCCAGCAATCCCCCCTCCCACCTAGCATCATCGGGAGATTTATTGTCTGATCCCAGACAGTTATAATTATTTATTTAATGACTATTATACTAATAAAAATTAACAAATACAAATGGTTCATTTTACACGCATATTTTATTATATATAAATTAAAATTATAGGAAGTAGAACTAGTTAAATATAAGGAATGAAAAATAAAAAGAAGTGACATGTATTTTAAAGTAATTATAAAACAGTTGGAGAGTAAATAAAGACAGATATAAAATTGACAAAAGATTAAAATACTATTCAATATAATGCATTTTTTAAGTGGATGATATTTATATGCTTAATGTATAAAATTAGATTCTTGCATAATATTACAGGATAAATATATTCCTAATCTATACATAGTTTCATATTTGAAGGATATTAAGTGATGTGATAACTTAAAGTTTTTACAGATTTAAAAATACATAAATTCAATATGAGTATACATATTTCTACTTAAATATTAAAATGTTTATGTATCTTCAAAAATTTAATTTAGAATAGTGTTATAAACAATTATTTAGACCATGAACTGTTGACTCTTTACTTAATAAAATATACGACGAAGTGCTTCTAATTTTAAATATTCAATAGCTATTTACAGTAATGTATTGAAAAATTATTTAAATTTAGTATCAAGCGTAGAAATAATACAGATTATTTTTTTATTACAACATAAATTCGAAACTCTTTAAGTATAAATAAATTTTTAAGTAAAGCTAAATAAACATTTAAATCTATAATTAAACAAAATAAAAATCTATCGACAATATATATTCTTTTATTTAAAGCTACAGATTTTCTTGAAAATTCGTAATAAAATAAATACATAGTTTTGTTGTATATATCATTATTAAAAGTTTTTTTACTACTAATTTGTTTAAAAAATTTATGAAAAGTAATTATAATGTTTTCAGTAAAATTTCTTTAAGCGTTATTTTATATGAGTAAAAATTAATAACCGAGAATAGATCCATAATATTAAATACTTATTAGTTTAATAATATATTTCATAATTCTTTAATTAATAATAATTAAAACCAGATTAGTTTAATTTAAATTTTTTATTAGGTTAAAAATGGAACAAAAATGCGCAACATTTTACAGTATGCATTAAAACATTTTTCAAATCATTGTTCAATTGTATGGAGTGCCGTAGCCGAAGGAATCACCAAAGTAATATCATGTGCGGAATTCTTCAAAAGACATCATCCAGGTCTAAATCAAGCGATAAAACTTCGTTATATTAAGTAAGAAATATATTTAATATTAAATATTTCAATTCTTTATTTTTCTATGAATATTTCAAAAATTATAATGAAAGAGCTATGATCAGTAATGAAATTATCGTGATTTATGTTAAACATTAAACTGATATACTACTTCTCTTGTTGTTTAATGGTTTAGTTTTAATTGATACCAAGTATAATGAAACTAGTGGTTATTTGTATGAAAATTGAAAATAAGAAAGTGTTGTTAATAATCATTTACAGTATATAATTGTAATATAATATATAATTATTGTCATAAAAAGATAAGGGTATAACATATTTTATTAATTAAACTACAAAGAGGTAACTATTAATTTTAAAACAAGAAGAAAAGTAAAAGATAATTTATTTGACAAAGATTTAAAACATTAATGTGGATACTGTATGGAAAAGATATCTATGAATTTTAGTAACAGCTTAACTGACTGATAAATTAACAGAACATTATTAAAATCATTACTAGTATAAAATAAGGTACGGTGAAATAAATTAATAGCGTCAAAATATTGAAAAAAAACTCGTTATATTTGATCAGTCAAAATTTTTATTATTTAAATTGGAAGCGTCACAGAACAATTATGATAATAAATAATAAAAAAATGAAATAAATATGTATAGTAAATTTTATCAATGATCAGTGAATCATAACACCGAAATTAGAATCCCATTGCTTTTTTAAATATTTAATTTTAAATGTTTTTTAGATCACAAAGAAATAATATTCAAACAAATCAATCAACTATATCATATATGCCTGAAATACACATTATTTTATCAAAGAATCCAATATGTATTGACAATAAAGGTATGATTAAAAATTATATTATATTATTAAATTATTTTATAATGTAGCTTTAAGTTTTTATTATAAAGTGATGAAAACATTTTAAATCTTTAATTACCTATAATATATTTAAATGAGTTGTATGTATTAAATTAGACAAAGCTTTATTTAATTGCATTAATTCAAATGAGCAAAGAAAAAATAATTTCCTGCATACATATTTATATACATACTCTCAGTTATTTGTACTACCAGTAAATTATCATTTATATTCCTTTCATGTAAATATATAATTATATATACCAAATGTCTGTGATTATTACATCTATTTATGTAAAGCAGACGTATTTTTAACGTAATTAATATAAGAACCATGAATTATTTAGTTAATGACATTATTCCAGATAAAATAATTTCATAAAGATACTGATTACATGTAAGAGTAGAACTACTTGTATAATTAAATCAACAACCAAGTGAAATATTTCAACAAAAGTATGTTAAGCAATTATGGACAAAGATAATTTATTTATAAGTTACAGAGTACGAAATTATTCTCGTGTTATTTAATGCCTTATAGATAAATAACAGTCATAAATGTATACAGATTAAAATCATATCTACATCATTTTCAATCGGCAAACAATGTTGTCTTGTATCTGAAATTTAATTATCAAATTTCAAAAGCTTACTTTATTGTTCGAAATTGCGAGAACATTTTTCTTGTCACAAAATACCCACAGTCGTTGGATACTCGAGAAGGTCAGTACATCTGAAAAACACTCGTAAATAGTTATTTTACTTATTCTCGGATATCAAACGCGCTCATGATTCTCCGGTGCAGTTAAAACGATCTTGTTGTTTACTGCCAAGAAAGCGGCGATTCTGAAAGAGTGATTCTGAAAGATGTACGTAAACTATCGAGTACAAATTATTTCCAAAATATTCATTGCAAAACCGTGCTCTAATTGGACACAAGGACGTGGAAGGGATCCCAAGTGAAACCCATTGTCGGTAATGTATTTAAGAGAGAAAACTACGAGATTCATCACTCTTGATACAGTACTTATTCAAATAAGAAGTGGAAGTCCCCTTTTAACGTAGTTAAAGACAATTGTCGGTACAAGTCCTATTGGTAGGAAACGTATTCTCTTATCGGAGTCTGAAGACAAGTGTCCAGTGGTAGTCCTTATCAAGAAGGAAAACGGAAAGTCCCTCTACTGATTCTACTGTTAGTCTTCGTAAATAGTGCCACTACTACAATAATCAACTAAAATCAAGATTCAGAGTTCAAGTCATCAACAAGCAAACAAGGTCTCTCACCAGAGAGACAGTGCGGAATAATTCCAAACGCGCCGCCAAGTTCGCGCCAGCTGATGTGCGTCTTGCCGACAAACCCTCACCTTAGTTCAAAGACTAACGCTTATGAATCTACTCAGCGCGCCATTCAACACTCATAGCACACGCAATACGTAGCAGTATTCTTCACGAGGTAAACGCCTTACAAACTCGTACTTCCATCTGAATAACTATTGCAGTACGCCAACATCAGGAAGAAGGTACGCTTGTTACGACCACTGTATTCTCAAATCACAACACTGCGTACGTCACGCTACATTATAACTCATAAGCTCAACTAAGCACGTGCTCACACGAATAGCGCAAGAGTCGAGGAATCAAACTTCGCGCAATTTTGGGCTCATATTTAAACCATCATGCCTATCAATTAAATATAGTTAAACCAAGTTTGTTTTTTACTTTTCTTATGTAAATGACTGATTATATCAGACTTAAAACCTCCTTTTGATGGTGGGTGGAGGCTTACTGGCAAGGGGAAGGGGCAATGCAATTATTCAATACAGCCTTTAATGTTTATTGTTTTTCCTTTTATTAAATATAATAAATATAATAAATAGTCAATGATCTAAGGATGTCGAAATGAATGTGTGAGAGACTAAATAGATGAGTGTTTCTTCAATTAATGTTAGTGGTGATAAGTCTATAAGTGTATTCTTGGAAGCCTGGAGCGTGATTCCCCTTCTTATGCATTGAGTAGTAGTAGTGGGAGACTCGTGCTGGTAGGGGCAGCGAGTTGGTGCCGCCTTAGCCGCCGGTGTAGGGTGAGCGCTATATCAAATATTGAATATTAAATATTTTATATTCAAATATTCGTCCCTGCTTGAGTGAGTGGGAGATTCACTCGTATCGACGTAATGCAATGTCGCAAAGTT